TACCAGATTGGTCAACGATTAGAGGCCAGACAAAGTCAGCCTCCTGGTCCTCCAGGTTGGGGGTTGGAATACGGGTGGCTCCTTATTCCTTAAAACGGACTCCTGGTAGGCCAACTCCAAACCCGCTGCCTTGCGGTCAGCTTTACGAACCAAAGGCATTGTCTGAGAACCTTAATCGTTCTGCTGCCTTGGCCTGGGCAATCTGACAGTATCCTGCCCACGCAATACTATGAATTTCTCCTCAAACAGTTGCTTGATGCTCTGGCCACTGCAGAGGATAATCAACGGTGCCCTATCTATTGCATCGATCAGGGTGGTTACGGGTTTGGATGCTACTGCTCAAGCCTACCCAACTTCTTATTCCCCCTCTTACGCTTTTTCACTCTTACCGTCCCGTTTCAGCTTCACTTTTATCCCCACAGTTTACAACCCCCCAATTCTTGGCCCTCCCGCACCCTTCAAGTTTCAACGCACATGTGAACACGGAGCGTCAACCCTGCCATGTCGACAAGTTCATGTCCAAGCAAGCAGTCAAGCCCAGTTCACTGGCTTCCATTTAAAGCCCTCAATCATCCTTCGGATCGGCCTGCCTCAGTGTACGCACACTGATACTGATCGGTCAACAAGCAGCACTTGCCCGAACTTTGGAGTCCCTGTCCATCGATTTCTGCCATTTATCGGAGACTCGCTTACATGACTCGAACTCTGTGCTCTCATTATGATCCCCTTCAGGTGAGACTGGCAGTGCTTTCTCATTGTATCTATCCGGGCACGATGCAGCTTCTAGTGTCGACCAAGCCGGTATTGGCATTGCCCTCAGTCCCCGAGCTGAACCTGCTCTGATTGACTGGATTCCAATCAGCAGCTGAATGTATGACTCGTTCAAAGCTTCGAAACCGCACGGAACTAGGAGGTGTCTATTCATCATCTCTGGCTATGGACCCACAAACTCTAGCGTTGATTGGGTAAAGCACGACTTCTATAGTCAACTGAACGAGCTCCTTTGACCCAGAAGAAGCACGGACACTGTTGGGCTGGCGGGGGATATGAACGCACAAGTTGGAAAGTTGTCCACTGAAGAACTGTACCTGGGCGGTCAACACGGTGTAGGCTCCCGTAATGATAACGGTGAGCGGTTACTTCATTTGTGTGAAGATGCTCGCTTATTTCTTGCGAGCACTAACTTACGACACAGCATCCGCCGGAGGGTGACTTGACGCCCACCAGTCTTGGACGTAGATCGTAGTTACCGCTGGAGAGGCTACGTCCAGAACTGTCGCTCGATTTGGAGCACATGTGTGGACACCTATCACGCACTTGTATGTGTTGACCTCCGGGTGCGCTTTAGCGGATGCCCACGACGATGATGTGAGAGGATTGACATCAGCCAACTGACAAAGCCAGCTGTTCAGATATCCTATAAAGGTATGCTGACATGCGAGTTGAGTAAGCGCTCACTGAATGCAACTGAAAGTCACTGGTCTCTTATTCAGTAGACCTTACTGGCAGCAGGCAAATCTTTATGTGGTATGTCTGATAGCCAACATGGATATTGGGTCTCTTTGCAGTTTCTGGAATTTATCGATGTTCGCCGGCATATCCCGGCTGGAAGAGAACACAATGAAACTCGTAAATAGCTCCGGGCAAAATTCTGTGCTAGCCTGAAGAGAGGCCGTGACCCCTGGTGGTCTCATAGTACTACTGAGATGGAAATGGCCGCTAACCTTGGTAACCATCGTAAGTTATTCAGGCTGATACGGGAAACGGGCAGCAGGAGACTGGTGTTAGTGAAACTATATGTGACGAGAGGGGATAGCTTATCTGCAATTTGTCAAAATGCTTGGGGCATTGAAGTGAGCACTTTGAAAGGCAATTTAATCGGTCAGACTCGTTAGATTTCTCGCCGGACACTGATCGCTTCCCTCCGTGGGCTGTCCTTTTAGATTCAACCTCTAGCTAAGAAGTGGAAGGTGAGGTCGCACTGTTGAAGTTAAATAAAGTCGCGGGACCAGATGAACTTCATCCAGTCCACTTCAAATTCAACGGACCTGCTCTTGTGGATGATTTATGCGAGTAACTAGTGAAACCGTGGGAACAGGAAACTGTCTCAACCGATTGCAGCCGCTCCGTCATAGTCCCAATTTTCAAAGGAGGCTCATGATCGGGATGCGGCAACCATAGAGGAATCAGTTTGATTTCAATCGCCTCCAAATTGCTTGCCTCTGTTATCCTTCAGAAACTGATTGGCACTCGTGAAAACCATATTCGTGAAGAGCAAACCGGGGTTTCGTCGAGATCGTGGCTGCATTGACACCTATTTTCACTTGCTTCAGTTGTTGGAGCATCGTCACATATTGGCGGCCAACCGTTGTCGTATTCCTCGACAGCGAAAGTGCCTTCGGTTCGGTGAATAGACGTGTACATTGTGACTGTCCACTCAGGAAAGGTGTACCTAGAAAACATGCAAATATTATCTGAGCATTACACGCGCATAGCTAAGGCACTTTGAGGTCCTAAGGCAAGCTGTCGTTGTCCTTTGATATCTCCAGCGGTGTGAGACAGTGATGCGCGCAGTCACCTGTTGTGTCGCCACTGACGCCTTCACCCCACGACCGCAAGAACAGGTTCAAAGACGAGCCAGAACGAGACTTGTATACATGAAATCACAGTTGCACATATAGTTTTCTAGGCGAAATGAAGAGAAGCTATTAAATTACAGTTGAGCCAACCAACAGAAGGAAAACGTCAAATGCAACGGGGGAATAAGCAACCGTGTACTCAAGTGTGAATCGCATATGTCCTTAAAAATAGCATCTTGGGGCTCAAAGCGTAAAGCGAGCATCCATTTACAGTGACGGGCACTGGTCAATCAGAATAACGAAATGCAGCGTTTAAACGTCACGAAACAAACGAGAATAAGAAATGCAGACCCAAAAATTGAAACCTAGTACAATAATTGTGTCACAACTAAATATTCCTTTAACATAACTAAGTAGAACAGTGATGAGGAGAAAAACCAATGGAATGTGTTCTTACAAACGGCACTGCTGTAAAGGACATGACGATGAGCGTCCATTAACAATGACGTGTGTGGACCAATCGGGCTAACCCAGGAGAGCGTTTAAACAACAGTCAAGAAGTAGTAAATAGGAAGAATAAAGAATGGCTATTAAGCTTGTTCACGAGAAATCAATGTCTGATTGTTATTCTCCTAAGTTCGCTTTTCCTTTTCAACTTCGCTATTGACGAATCATGGAAATCGGGTTCGTAGGATCCGACTTATAATGTGTCAATCTGTTCCCAGGATAATGACTTATTGACTTGGACTCTACTGACGATATTGCTCACATCTGTGACAGCTCTCAGAGGTGCCAAGCAGCAAGTCTGGACAGATTGATACTGGCTGTCCGTCCCTTCGGGCTTTGTTTCGCCCCCTTGAGGTGCAAAGCGTTCCTCCAAGATTGGCCTGAACAGCCCCTAAACTGACCCTTGTCGGGGATCAGCTAGAAGTCGTACAAATTTCAACTACTTGGGAAATTGTATCAGCGACCTTGGGATGGAAGACAAGATCAGGAACCATATGGCAAAAGCTCGAAGTGCTTTTGCTAATCTTTGCCACTTATGATGCCGACTCGACCTCACTGTCGCCCTGAAGTGTAGATTGTAAAATGCGGCGGTACTTTCGACCCAAATGTACGGTTGTGAAACCTGGCCCCTTAGATCAACGGAGATAAAGAGGCTAGTTACGTTCGATCACCGGTTCCCTCGCAATTTAGCTCACCTCTGGTGAGAACACCGAGTAGGCAACGAGAGTGTTCGACTAACTGTTTACGGCACAAGAAAAGCAAATGAACCGCCCGGCACCGCTATTTCACGTGCCAGGCTCCGATGGCTCGGCCAGGTGTTACTCATGCCAGCCCACCGAATCCTGCTAGGTGGGTTGTTTGCACTCCGGGGGTGTGGATGAAAGAAGTGGTGGGGTGGCAGAGCCCACCTCAAGCCAGGCAGCCACTATGCAAATTGATGAAAACCCGCCAACGCCCACCAGCGACTGGCAGTGGTCCCAGCTGCGTGGCATAATAGGATCGTAAAACATTATACCCTGCTGTAAATCTTCGAAGGCCGTTTGTGACACACCTCAAGCAGATCCCCATGGGTCTCTGCAATCACACTCCCGAGTTGGACTTGCTCCCCGCTGCCTTGTGTGTCAGGCTATTGAGCCAAACGGTCCGGGTGGGGACACTTGGTGAGCAATGCTGAGGCCCACTAATTGTTTTTCTATTGGCAAGTAGCCTTTTGGTACCTTACTCGTGTGTTAGCTGAATCTTAGTCGCTTACCTTGGCTGCGCCATGTCATGCGTATGTCCGTCAAACGGCTTCCTCGACGTGCATTATATGCCGTGGCTGCATCAAGTTGGACGAAACTGCGAGGTGGCCAGTCCATAACGTGGCATAGAGGCATGACGAAATTGACCGAGAGCTTCGGTCCGAGTTGTGCATGGTGACCTCGGAATGGTCCACAACAGTTGTCGGAGACCGTATCAGACATGGCGCAGTCACACAGTCAGTCGTGTTCCTGCATTCGGTTTCTTACATCTGGTTATTAATTTTCGTTCCATGCTGATTAATTTAACTCACACCCTTCCTGATTTCATTTTATTTACACTCTATTCGCATTCAACTCAACCATGTTGCCGCTGTTATTTATTGTTATTCTCGCCATGTGATTCGTGGCTACTGGATCCACCGCACTTTGGTGAGGCTGTACGCTGTAACAACGCTTCGCTGCCAGCACAAGTCGCGCGTGGGTTGAGTACACCGCGAAGACACCCGCCCCTACAAGGGTTCGAACCGGTGATCATGTGATTGCAAGTCAGGAGGGGTGCAGACCACTCGGACACCGGCCGACATCTGAAATGAACTGGTTTCACGCATGGCACCGTAATCAAGCGGGCGTAGTCTCCAGGTTAATAAATAGAAAAACATGCTCCAAAGTGGAAGTTGCATACGAAAACTAGCGGATGCATGATTGGAAATCTCCTAGCATAAGAATGCCCTGACAGTCACTGGTATAATAAGTCGGTGATAAAGGAAATAATTTGTCCACTTTCAGATGAAAAAGTCACTTGTTTTGATGAACCAAGGCTGCAAGTTAACTCAGCACAACGGAGAAGTTAAATTGGGCAGAAGAAACCCAAATAAAAATAATGGGAACACAAGACACTTGATATTCCCAAGGCAAGTGTCATTGAAAGGTGAAAAGCGTTTTCTCCAAATCCGATAGTCATGGCAGAAGCTTTTTATTTTTTCCCTTTGGAGCCGCCTTTTGGTGATTTTGAGTTGGGGGATTTTGATTTCGGCGATTTGGGGGACTTTTTCGGCGAGGTCTTTTTGCCTTTGGGGGATTCGGCACGATCTCCATGTTGTCCGAGGCGAGCAGCAAGCAAAACTTCTTTGTCGGGCACTTCGGGCAGCGGATCTCCCAGTGGTACAACGGTATAGTTGTTTTTCAAGGCGATTTCATGCAGTGTGCGGCCGTGATTGTACTCATGATGTTGCATAATCATAAAACCCAAAATCGGGTCTGCACACGAAGTGAATTCTACCTTGCACCAGCCACACCGTAGTTCGTTGTTGGTCACGTGAGCTACTAGTAGATGGGCTTGTAGTTGAAAAGAATGCTCGAAGACCTCCCAACAATAGATACAAGTTGTGGCCAGATCGGTCACATTCATCAGTAACTCCCGTCTAATCCAAAGACTACCCAATCGCCTGATTGCAGTGGTATGATTTGCTAGTATATGCTGATTTAAGCCGGAGTCGTTTGCTGCAGTAAAACCACACATGGCACATACTCTCAGGTCATTTTGTATTTGGGACGCATTGCCATGACAACAGAGCACATGTGCGTGTAGCTCGTAATTTGATTTGAGAGCCCAGCCACACAGTGAACATGCATAAGGAAATCTTAGACAACTGTCGGCTAGCGTGTTGCGTCGACTCCACAATGTGTATCCGGGGACGTGGTCGTTTTTGATATGGATACGCAGTCTGTCCAATCCCGGAGTGGGGATATCGGAGATTTCGCACAGTTGCTTCTCTTTGGCCAATTTCAGTTCATGAGCATACGCCAAACGCTTTTCTTCATCTGCGTTCGATGGTAACGGTGGAATACTTGGAGGTGGGGGGACTGCAGGTTCATCATAAGTGAACGCACACATGCCACATCGGCCTGCCGGCTTGTTGGGTCGATGATAGCAAAGTAAATGCATCACTAACTCCACCCTGGAACCCATCGGTGTGCTTCGACAGTACAGGCACCGATATGGTGGTCCATAGTCCAGGGTAACGGAGCACGACATTAGCCGGAGGTAATTCGCCTTCAACACCGGACACTTGTGTTGTTCAACATCCTTGACGTTAACCACCGTTTGACAAGCCCGGCACTGTTGCTGTCTCACATCGAATGGGGCCATATGGTTCATCAGAACTAAATGGGATTGAATTGCCGCGGAATCCTTGAACGAACGCAAGCACAGAAAACAAATCGGATGTTCCTCTGTCTGTATCTGGGCATCTACAGGAGGCCCCACATCTTGCTTATTTCTACCAGGAGAAGTTTTCTTATTCGGTGATTTTTTACTAGCGGGTGATTTTCCTGGCGACTTTTTGGGTGACCTTGCAGGAGAACCACTTTTTGGCATGCTGACCCTAATAGCTGACGCAGTGTAGTCTCGGTGGCGCTATCAGCTCGTTAAACCGGATTGACTATTGATTCGGTGCACACAGATCGATAGTCGTGCATTCAGATAAATTTTCTTTTAGGGTACGCAAATGGGTAAAAAATGATGTGCCGAAAAAACCGAATTTATAACAAATAATATAGTTACCGATGTATAGGTTTTGCACATAGAAAGCAATTCATTTGGTGAAGTCCTTTCTACAGAAATGGCCAATGTTCCTGATTCTGTATAGCAAGCGGATAAAAGCTACTGGTAGCGGAATGCGTTGTACCGTGTGGGAATGTCACAGATATCATCACGCGAAATCAGAGGAGTTGCATACGATAACATATTTCTCGCTCAATGAAAGACAAATTCGAACGATAGCAGGGACATTGCCGTCAACTGTCAGTGTCTAAAGCATTCTCCAACAAGACTCTGAAAGACCGGGACTTACACGGTCAGAATAACAAGTCACGGTGAGCAGGATAACCCTCTGCGCCCAAAACAGAAGTTAAAATTTATCAGCTAGGCACCTCCGGCGCTGATGGAATTGACGGGGATTTGTTATACCCGATCAGTACGCACTGCTTGAGGTGTCATGTGAATCGGATCCTTTCGTCGAGAACTGTTCAGTGTAGGCCACACCATGTTTAGATCTGGCAACGCACAGCCTCAATGAAATGCGGAAGGACGATCGCTTACGAATTTCATGTGAGAAAACAAATAGTGTGGCATAAAGATGGGTAGAAATATAACTCAATGTGCTTTCAGTTGAACTAAGGCCCCTTCAAAAGTTTGCGTGCCAGCTATACTACACGAACTCGTCCAAACTTGACGTAGTTGATCTCTTTGAATGCTCAATGCGTATTGCAATAGCGAACCCCAAGGCCGAGTTGAACATCACCCTACTTAGAAGTAACTAATGGTTAGGCCGATTAATGGAACTGTAATTGGTGTAAGTAAATCTCTGTACCACTCATCCCCAAAGCTGAACCCCACAACTGGCTTCGCCCTTATTTGGGCTTTCGCGGTAAATATAGCAGGGTTATTGATTAGCACGCAAAGTAAGGTTTGTGCACAGATTGTAGCAGAACGGTGCGGCAATGAAGTACAGTCTCTTAATGACACCCTACCGTGCGGCCGCACTGTAACTCGTCTCTCGCTTTGCTCTTTGTGGCCACTCCAATTCTCCTCACAAAATATTGTGCGTGCGCTCGTTCGAACCAGTTCGACGAGCTCTACTCAGTGCTTCCCAACTCTTGGATCTAACCGGTGTGGATTATACTCTTTCTCCAGTTCCCAGTTTTCGGCATATTCTTTGCCGAATTTCACTTGTGTAACCACATCAGACCGGTCTTTCGGAAAAGATTTTGATCTCATTCGGAAGAAGAAGCTGAGGGCTCCCAAACTACGCGGCAACCATCCCTGCAAGTTGCGGCATAACAAAGTTAGAGCCTTTTTGCTCCGCTCATCAACTGAGCAGCTCTCAGGAAGCTTATCAGCGCTCCACCTGCATCGTCGCTTAAGGCAGGCCGATTAACACACGCTGCCGCTTTGTTTGTGTGTTTACCACTGCAAGTCTATTGATCGCTGAATCCGACAGTCTGCGCGTTACGACCCCCATCTGCCCCTACGCCTGACCTTCGTGCGGTCGAACAACTCTCAGTTCGTGTGCGTGTTCTGACCTATTCTTGCGTCACCCCTAGCGCAAAATACACTCACCAAGGCTTTGTTGTAAACAAGAGGACAACTAGCATTCCTATGGTTCAGCGTCGCCTATGTTGTGCAGACAACTGCAGTAAAGTCCTTAAGATCAGTATCACCTGTTCCAGTTGCATTAAATCGTACTGCTCGCAATGTGCAGGCAAATCTGTCCAAGAAGTGAGACAGACAAACCAAGTTGCTGACACAATTTGATTTTGCCCATCATGTCAAGTGATTCCAGTTGTCAACTGTTTATCATTGCTAATGAAAAAATGCGATAGGATGACTGAAATAATCGCACAATTTGTAAATACTAAGGTCGCTCCCTCGGAGGTAAATATGGCCACGATAATACCTCACCCGGTCAAAGTTAGTTCTGCGTCTAAACCGACGAAAAGAGCTAGACGCTCCAACCGCACTGCAGCGTCTGTGACCCTAAACCCACTGGGTCACCTCACTCCCATCAGTGGGCAAGCCTCAAACATGCCTGCGTCCACTTCTCCAACCATAGACGCTTCACTTGGAGATTCAGCCATGACACCGATAGCTCACAGCCGGAGGAAATCCGGTGCAGATAACAAACAGGTTACGTACGCATCGATTGCCTCGACAAACACACCGGGAGCGACACACACAAGTTCATCTTCAGTACCGAGCACGCGTGGCCCAAAGCAGCTTTCACTGTCAAGTCCAGTGGTGCTCTCTAAACAACCTGAATTGCCGGCAAAAAGTATAAAGCCAACACTTGCTAGACAAAACCACGCTGCGCTAACTCTCGTGTGCACCAATGTTCCCGAATCCAAATCTGGCACAATAAAAGGCAAGTTGCAAGACGATCGCAACCAGTGGAGTTCCATCTGCGAGGCGATTGGTATTCGGGTTGAGCCTGCAATGCTGCAACGCGTAGCACGTCACCCGACCTCAGTGCACTCTGGTGAACCTCGAATTCTTCGAGTAACTCTAAACTCAGCAGATGAGACAGAGGCTGTCCTGCTCTCAGCAGTTCGTCTTCGCAACTCACCGAGCGGAGTGCGCATATTACCTGATCTACCTTGGAAAGACCGCACAAAAGAAGCAGTGGAGCAACGCGGTATTGCTAATAGGGCTAGCAAGAAAACAATATTTGTTCATGGTATTCCCGAGCTCCTGCATGCTTTTGATCACGATGCACATACACATGACCGAGAACAGTGGTGCTACATCCGCGAAGCACTCTGTGTTAACAATGTTATTGCCAAATCCCTAACAAGAGTTCCGTTGTCACCTAACTACAAGGGCTGCGGTCCTAGGCTAATGAAGGTAATACTACACTCTGAGGGAGTGACGCAAGTTCTGTTGGATAGCTGGGTAAAGTTTCGAGCTAGGTTGCCAACAGAAATACGGTTAAAGGCAGCAGGCGAACGACCAAAAGTCGGAAGAAATTCGATGGAACTTGCAAATCCTGCAAATTCTTTATTTGCACAGTCCTTCGGAGAGATCGACACAACAGCGCCCACGTCACACAGGAGGACCGAGCACAGCACGAGTGAACCATCAGTTCAGGAACGCTCAATAATGTCATGTAACACGACTGAAATACACAAACCAAAAAACGATTAATTGCCGGCCACCTAACGGCCGGCTTAAAAGCGAACACAAACTTGACATCCACCAATGAACTCCTAACCACAAAAGCCCTATCTTGCATGTACACAAACGCTCAAGGCCTTCGAAGCAAGTTGGCCGAACTTAGAGAACTCCATGCCTCACAACCACGAGACCTCGTCATGATTACAGAGACATGGTTAAACCCTGCGATAACCGACTGTGAGATCAAGTTACCCGTTATGTCGCTGCTTCGGACCGATAGAACCGGAATGGGTGGCGGTGTGATTCTTTACTATAATACAAGCCTCCGATGTGAAGTTATCGATCACCCAGAAATCCGAGCTCCCGATTCGCTTTGGTGCCGCCTTTGGTTGCGAAACAAGGACACATGTCTACTAGCCGTGGTTTATCGCCCGCCAAACTCAACGTTGGAAATGGACTCCAAACAGCACCATGTTTTTCAGTTTGCTTTGAGCAAGTCCTACACCCACATTCTTATCGCGGGAGACTTTAACGTGCACGACACAGAAACGCCGGCAACTGACGGTACGCAGTTTAAAGCCTGTTTGCAAGAACTTATTGCTATCCACCCTCTTTACAACCACGTAACCTCTCCCACCAGATTTCGAACTTCTAACAAGCCGTCGATACTAGATCTTGTGCTAACTAATGAAGAACTCATGGTTGGCGGGATAGTTACAAGCACACCACTGGGTCGTAGTGATCATGTCACTCTACTATTTGATTATATATGCTATGCCGAGTACCCGGAAAAGGAGGAGGATAAAGTGCACACTGTCACGCACTACAATGTGTTGTCCAAGCTTGTTAAGGATACATCTTGGACTTTCTTATTCGAATGCCCCCCAGATTTGGCCTGGGATATGTTTACAAGGACTTTGAGCACACTGGTAGCGCAAGCACCGGAACAGAAGTCCTTCCAACCCAAAAACCAGAGTAAGTCAATTCTGAGGAGCAGAACACGTAAATGTATGTCCCGGAGGGATTTGGCATGGCGAAATCACCAGGGTTGCCCGAATGCCGAAACCTGGACTGCATACGTGACACATCGTAACTTCTGTGTGAAACTGATCCGCGAGGACAAGGTCACGCATCAGCAGAAGTTAATGAAGCGATTCTGCACTAACCACAAACTCCTGTATAGGCACATTAACGGCCTTCGAAAGGTAAAGCGAGGGGTTCCGGCGCTAGTCACAGCTGATGGATACACACGGTCAGCAATGGAAGCAGCTGATCTCCTACGGCTTCATTACTCTCAAACGTTCCAACAAGTGTCGAGCGCAAACATTCACCTCGTTTCTAATACTCCACCATCTGGTTTAGAAAACATTGCCTTCACTGCGGAGGCTGTGTTGAAGAAGTTGTTATCCTTGCGTATCCACAGTTCTCCCGGAGCTGATAACATCCGTCCAAAGGCTCTACAGGCAGTAGCTAGTGATCTAGCAGAACCACTGGCTGTTTTCTATCAGCGATGTCTAGAGGAAAACCTTATTCCACCAGTATGGAAGCAAGGGGTCATCACTCCTATCCATAAAGGAGGTAGCCGCACTGATCCTGCAAACTACCGTCCAATAACATTACTTCCCGTACTATCCAAAGTGATGGAATCAATCGTCGCAGACGCGCTTATGCAATATTTGGAAAGCCACAATTTAATAGCCCCAGAGCAACATGGCTTTCGTCAAAAGCATTCGTGTAATACTAACCTATTAATTGCGCGTAATAGCTGGACTGAAGCTGTTGATGATGGAGTTGGAGTCGATGTCATCTACTTGGACTTTTCAAAAGCGTTTGATCGTTTAGACCATCGAGTTCTCCTTCAGAAGCTTCGGAACTACGGCATTGGCGATCCAATCCTGAGTTGGATTAGCAATTTTCTACAAGAACGACGGCTAGTGGTGAGAGTCCGAGAATCATTTTCTCAT